GATGTGGATCTTCTGACATACAGAGCCACTTGCTGGCTCGTGTTGAAAAGTGTTTGCCACAGAAACCACATCTATGTGACCGGGAATAAGATTGGTGATGAGTATCAGTCACATTTTCTCCAAAAGAACACCCCCAAGGTATGGCCCCAGCTTCTGAGCTTGCCCATAGAGGGGAGGCCTCTCAGACTTGGGGGCCCCCAGGGCACGTTGGGCTGAATCTGACCTTTATCCCTCTGAAAAGTCATAAGTTAGTCATTTGGTTAATATTTAATTCGAGGCAAACTTCATAGTGATTAGGAAGGCTGATTGATGGTTTAATGCATGGAGATTTGGCCATTTGAGCACTGGACACTGAGCAAAACTGTCCTCTCAGATCTTGCTTAAGTCATGATTCAGTTCAGTAATAGGCAAACAAATTGCACTCTGCAACCAGCTAAGTTAGACCAAGGCTTTCCTCGAGGGTATACTCAACAGTCTTTCAAAGGTAACTTTGCCCTTTATTTAACACTGGGAATTAACACTGTGTGATTAAACAGTGCAGGTAAAGTGATATCAACTAAGTGTATATTTTAGTACTTTGTGAGAGGAGGGTGGGAATATCATTAAAACTTCAATTATGATGATCTCTCCTTTCTATAGAATCCTAGTTATTTCTGGAACTAATTAGTTAAAATACATTTAAAATGCATTTTCATCCCAAATGAGTACATTTTATTTTTCTAGATCCCCCAAACTTTAATTATAACGAAAGAAAAAAGAATCTTAATTAACAAAAGTGTCTCGATTTTTCAGCTCAACTACCTTATTCACCCTTTTTATTGGGTCCCTAAATTAAATAATTTTGCAAAACTCACTGTGCCTAACTACTGAGCCAGAAGTAGCATTTATGCACCCCTGGGAATGGCCTCCCTCCAAATAAATAAAAATATACATTAAATAAGTAGCCTTTTGGTATTTAAATAACAATAAGAATTAAGTAAAGTATCTATAAATACCACTTTAGTATGCTTATTTAAATGACTTGAATGTAAACATTTTAATTCCATTAGTGTTAATGTTCTAATGCAATGAATTAAAAAACACCAAAAAGAGAACCTTGCTTTGAAAAGTATCATTCCTTTAAAAGCTACTTAGAATAAGCAACTGAATTCTCCCTAAGTCCCCATCCTTCTCCTTATTCTGATTCTCTCTGGCTCTTCTCTCTTATTAATCTATATACTGCTGGTATATTACTTAATAAAGGAAAAATAACTTTTCAAAAAACCTTCAGTTTGCCCACTTGCTTATTTTGATGGAGTTTATCTTGGTTTCATGAAAACCTACATGGGTCAACATTCAACTCTTGAGGAAAACAACATTTTTCCACTTGTGAAAACCAGTAAATGAAGCTAACCCTTCAAATGGATATATTAAATGAATTTTAATCTCTACTAAACATTTTCTATTTCTTATTAAACAGCGATTTATGGTTTTGGAGACATGCCCTGTGGTGCTCAGGACTTCACGACTTATTCCTGGCTCTGTGCTCAGGGTTAGGGTCAGGCTACATGGTGCTGAGGGCTGAATCCAATTGAGTCACATGCAAGGTAAGTGCTTGAGCCGTCACACTATCTCTTTGCTCTAGACAGAAATCATTAGGTCTTATATTCTTCTTAATCTATAAAATAGAGGCAGTTTGTGACAGGGAAGAATATGAGAGCAAGCAGAAGCATGTTTGTGCTCTCAAAAGAAACAACTAATGTACGTTCCGCATATTAAAAATAGAATTCAGTCACATAAATGAATCTACTCTTTACTGGTGTTTAGAAAAATTATAGAACCAGGTACCAAAATGACTTTTAAAAACACAAAATGGTTCTAAGAGTATAGAGATAAATTTGATCAAGTTACCCCTAACAAATTTTACTTAAAATGTGAAAACCAATTAATTTTGGAGGGTGCTATTAACTGTCATAAAAAGATAATAACACTTTCTCCAGCAATTAGTCACCCAAGAAGAAAGCATGTCATAGTTTGATAAATTATCATTGAATACTACAGCATGGAATCTACCAGAACTAAAGATTATTGATTGAACAATTCACTACACCCAGCTTTTTATTATACCCTATTTCCCCTTTAATTCATGAGATAAAATGAATCTTGAAACTCCCAAATATACATATAATTTTTGTATGACTTTAGAACTAATCTCTCCCTTTCTGCAGATAATATCATGTGGAGAAAAGGGAACACCAGTGTTCAATTTCTAACAATACTCCATTCACCACTTCTTTCCCTATTTTTGGTAAAAACTTTTTGCATATAATAAACCACCAGTAAATTTGTTAGTATCCAATAAGAACTGAAATGTACAAAGCAATGTAAGATCCATTCCTTTTGTCCAGGTTTGGAACAGTTATCTTCTGCTATCACTAGTGATCATGAAAACACACACACACACACACACACACACACACACACACACACACACACCCCAATGTAAGGTAAAGATGTACAGCTTTTACCACTTTCTCTAATACTTTCAGAAAATAACTTGCCCAGTTAGAAAGGCCTAACTTTCAAGGAAGACCAGAAAATATCTTTTTTTACCTTCATAAATAACAAACCAGAACCAGCTCAAGACCATGCTCGCACAAAGTGCATCCTCAAAGAGAAAAGCAACCAGAGAAAGATCAGAGAGGTTAGTCGCCTCTTTCCAACAGCTGCGGATCCTTGGTTGAGCTGATTCCAAGGGAGCCTTACACTGCCTCTTAAAAATCTCTCAACTCCCAATGGCACTGTGACTTGCCTTGACTCTATTACCCCCTGACCAAGAACTATGAGCGGTTAGGAACACGTTAGAAGACCTTTTGCCGGAAAAACGATGGGGGCTTTGCCTAGTGGGGAGATGGACTTACCTGTCTCCCAGTTTCCTGTGCTGGAAGCCTTGGAAACGCAGGCCCGTGCTCAGAAGCTCCCACGGAGAAAAGGGCCATGGGGTCTCACCTCACTCACACTCCCGTTTGCTTCCCCGCAGCTCACTTGCTCTCCTTAAAATTAATTAGGACTGGTTCGGCCTAAAAGTAAACTGACCCCTCGCCCCTCCAGGGTGTAAAGAAACCCCAGATAGGAGGGGTATGTGTTTTTAAAAGGCGGGTTTTCCACCATCTGCACTGGACAGAAAGTTTAAACGGGTGTTGGGGTCTTTCGGTGGGGGAGTGGCTTTTAATTTTGCAGAGCTGTTGGGATATCCTGCCGGGTTTGAAAAGGAGGCTCTGCAAACTTCTGGGTCACAGGGCAGCCCGTGGAATCAGCTATCTAGATTCGGCAGGGCCAGAGAGCTGGGGACGCGGTTGTAGAGAGCCATGGGGTACTTTCACCGACCACAGCAGCGAATATCCATCACTCAGCAGCCTTCCGGGCTGGGGGAAATCCCGTAGAGCCAGTGCTCTGGCCTTGGTGCTGAAGCCGGAACGCGCTGCGGGAACCATCTGGGCAGCCGCTGGGCATTTGGGGGCGGTCGGAGTGGGGGTCTCGGACAGTTCTAGGCGCCCCCTCGTGGGTTACCCAGAGGAAGTTGGGCAGAGTCAATGTCTTAGGACCCTCCACAAGGGAATTCGACTGGCTCGGATCTAAGCCTGGAGCTGGGAAAGTTTTGTCCAACGTTTTTTTGTTGTTGCTTTTTTTTTTTTTTGGAGCTGCTTTCTCCCCGCCCACCTGGGTCGCCATGGAGACTGAGCTCTTTCATTTTCCCAGGCAAAATGGGCGAAGCTGAATTGGCTCAGACCTGACTAGAGCAAACCACCCCTTTTCCTCTCTCATCTGCCCCTGGGCACCCCTCTCCTCCGTTTCCCAGCCAAAGAAGGGTATGCAGGGAAGGGGACGGCAGGGCTGTGGGATCTCCGGCCGGCGGGGGCTTCCCGGAACCAGCAGACTAGAGATAAAAGCCCCGCAAACATCGATTGAATGTCCAACTCCCAAACACGAAGACGCCCCCCCCACTTTCATTGGTGAGGGGTGGGAGAAGAGGGGTTCTTTGGAAATTTCTACCATTTTAATCCTCCACAAACATCACACCACGTTGGTAGCTGTTTTTTCTTTTTCTTTCCCCTCCCTCTCCTTGAGGATATTTTCTCCCTAAGAGTCTCTCCAGATGGAGGCTGATCCAAGAGCCATATACCTGTGGATCCACCCAAGGCTTTCTTAGGTTTGGGGAGTACTGATGCTATTTCTGTTAAAAACTAATCCAAGCTTAATGTCTTGATGCAAATGAAAAGACACCCCGGAGGGAACAAATCGGCAATCCATCCACCCCCCCCAACCCCCTCCACCCCACTCCAAATGCCATAAACATCATTTAATTGGAAGGGTTTTCTTTCTTCCAAATACAAAATAACCCCGTTTACTTCTAGGGGAACACTTCCTATTCTCTGTATCCATCTTGTCACATCTTCAGGGATACTGATGGAGAACAGAACAGTTCGGACTGCTTTTCTCCCCCACGTCAGCCTGCTTCTCCCCACCCCCTCACTTTTCCTTTACCTCCTTCTGCGCTCTCTCTCGCTCGCTCTCCTTTTTTTCTGTTTCTTTTATAATAAGGAACAAGGCTCCAGCTTTCCACAAAGACAATGGGGCTTTTCCTAAGTGACTACAGCGCCAGCCGCCCCTGCCAGGGAGTTCATGGAACATTTCATGGTTCCTGGTTGGCCAGGGGGAGGGTGCTGAGCTGTCTGCCGGGACCGGGTTTCTCCGCGCCCGCCCGGGGCTTTCTGGACCCCCCTCTGCCCGACCCCCTCTGGCTAGTTTCAGCGGCTAATGCCAACCCAATGAAACAGATCGCCCTCCGGTTATGTAACCCGCTTCTCTCCCGCTTCTCCCTCGCCCTTTTCCAGGACCTGGGCAGCCCCGAGTGTGGACGGCGCGGGGCTGCCTGCGGCGGCGACTGGGGAGGGGGACCCGGGGACCCGCGGGCAGGGCGCGACTCGCTCGGACTGCCCGCACCTGAGTGTCCCGCTTACCTGGCTGCGGACGGGCTGGCTTCACTCAATCATGATCGCCCCTCTCGGCACGGAGCGCGGCTGAATCATGCACCCCCGATGGACAGCGAGGGGAGCAATTGTTCGGGGGGGGATTTTTGCTTTTTTTTTTTTTTTAGAAAGAAGAAAGGGAAACTGGAAGCCAAGGGTCCGCTGGCGCTCAGCCGCGCAGGGAGTTCGGAGGCTTCATGCTGCCCGTGGTGCCCCCCGCCGCCCGCCCCACCTCTCCGGCCAGGTGCGGCCGCCTCCAGCCCGCTCCCTCCGGCCGGGCGCGCACAGGCGGGGCGCGCGGGGCGAGCGCGCCGGCAGGGGCGCGGGGGGGCAGAGCCTCTGCGGGCGAGGGCGGCAAAGGCCAAGAGTGGCCGGAGAAGAAAAGAAAAAGAGAGGGGGCGAAGAAAGAAAAAGAAAACCCCCGGCAGGGAGAAAAGTGCCAGAGCAAGCAGGGAGACGTCATGAAAGCCGCAGCTCCGAGGACAGCTCCTGGCGGCAGGCGCTCCGCGCGCTCAGCCCGACGCGGCGCGGGTAGGGCAGGGCAGCGGGCGCAGCGCCGCGTGCTGGCCGGACGCGGCGGCGCAGGGGTGCGCCGGGCGGGGTGCGGGGGCGGGAGGGGCGGAGCGGGGCTGGCGGGGCCGCCTCCCGGCTTCCCTGCGCCCGCCAGCCTCCCCGCTGTCTCCTACCAGCATCCCCGGCCACCTTCCCCACCTGGGGCGTGCGGGAGGGTCCGTGGGGGCGAGAGAGGCGCTCCCGAGACCCCCCCTCAAACTCCCGGGGGGCGCTGGGTGGGGAAGAACCCTTGTTCCATCTTCCTCAGCCCCCACCACACACACACACACACACACACACACACACACACACACACACACCCTGGAGTAAGCTGCAAACGTCGGGGTGCACCGGGCTTGGGGGGGATCAGAGGGGACTTTGGGGTTGAGCTTTGCTATTCACACTCCACGCTCCCCTCTGCATGTCCCCAAGTAAGATGTTCTCGGAGAAAGACGCAGAAAGTCTTTCTCCGGGATCGGAGAAGTGCACGCGGGTAGGAAGGAGGGTCACAAGCGGGGTTTTTGGGGGGCGATAGGGAAGCCCAGGGTCTGGCTCCAGGCTCGCTCCCGGCCGAAATCAGCCGGACTGGCCGGCAGGGGGCGCAGTGGTAGGCTAGCGGGCAGGGGGCGGCCGTCCCTAGGGTCTTTGCTTGAGGGACCTGGTGGGCTGTGGGCTGGTTCAGCCCTGGGCTGCGGGGAATCTGGTACCTCCCCCAGCCCTCCGGCTCCCTCCCCCCCGCAGACCACGACTCTCATCAGGGGCCCTGGAGCATATCAAAAGTTCATAATTGGACTGTTTGAATTCAAAGTAGCCTTTATCTGACTTTGGGCATCCGCCTAATCTCCTGATATTTTAGTTACCCTCGATCCTTAATGGAATAAGGTCCTGAACCCCAGGAGTGCATTACAGGGCTGTCCCTGCAGCCCCCCCCCCCCCTTGCCCCGTAGGGTCATGGCAAATAATAGTTCCACCTTTCCAAGCGTTTTACAACTTGCTTTTCCCTTTAGCGGATGTCGTCTTTTAAGCTGACAAATAAAATTGTTACTGGCAGTGAAGACCGTTGCTTAGCAGTTTTATCATGATTTTTCAAATCACTGGCCCTTTTTAGGGACATTTTATAAAAGAGCGTTTGATTCCATACCACCTGGGCTCTCTGTCTCTCTTTCTGGTTAAGGGCAACAGCCGCTTCTTCAGCCCCAAGTCATTGAAACTCTGTAGCCCTGCGGTCTAATTGCACAGTAATTCAGGCGCTCAGAGATGTCATCTGCTCTCTAAAGATGACTTTGATATGGAGAAGGCTGTCTCTATGTGGATCATCTGTGTGAAGCCGCTCTGTACACAGCCCGTGAGTACTTGTTGGTTGTTGATTTTCCCTGAGAGGTTGTAATCTCACTGGCTTTTATTTCTGAAACTCCTACCCTAGTTCCACAAAGATACTAAGTCTATATAAGGTACAGGTTTTAACCCTCCGTAGGGCTTGCTGGGTCTAATAATTGTGTAAGTGATAAAGATAGGCAAAAAACAACTGGACTCCATTCCCGAGGGATCCCTGAGTAAGGATACAAGATGCAGGATTTCCGTGGAAACAGCCTCAGTGTATTAAAAGAATAACTCATGTTGACTATAGCTGTCTAAAGAACGTTCTATTTAATCTGTGAAGCTACTAAGGATCTGCCTGTTTATTCTGATTACATGTTTCTCTCAGCGGAAGGATTTCATGTTTCTTTCTTCCAAGACCTCACACTCATGGGGTAATATCCCCATTCACCTCTTTTGGACACTTCACAAACTCCCTGAGTTTGAAACAGTTGCTGGGATGCTCTCTCCTGAAATGGCACAGGTGCTGGTGAAAAGAGATGCATCATAGAAGCACAGTGTGATTCACACCAGAGACAAATTCAGTTGGCTTAAGTGAGTTCATTTAGACCCCAGGAAGCTCAGAAAATAATCTGCAAGGTGTGAATGACTAGGCGGTGGTGTTGTGGCACCTGAAAATCAGGCAAAACTGCTGTGGGTACTGGGTGTCCCAGCAGCGCTGCCTGGAGACACATGTCAAACCTCTGTACCATATTTTATGATTTTACATCACTGCCCAACAGGGACTTCCAGACCTTTGGTTCTTTCTGCCTCAGGAGGGCTCTAAAGCCCCCCAAGAGTTTGGCTGATAGCTTCATTTTTTTTTTATGGTGGAGGCTGGATTCTCCCTCACCTATCAAATTAATGGAGGCTGATCAGCTAGCAAAATTCACAGAATTATTTCTTCTGCTGTCTTGGGTCCTGGGTGATCTCATTTTTCTCTCTTACGGATTGTGGCCATTGACTCTCTGATCCACCTCCTTGTCTGTCTGTCCATCTACCTAGCACCGGAAGGAAGGCGGATAGCTATTTCTGTTTTCTGTCTTTTCTGCTTCTGTCTACCTGGTTCAGGTTTAAGAATTCAGGCTTTAAAAAAAAGAATTTAGGCTTTGATGGGAGATGCATGCTGAAAGTAGACTATAGACTGAACATGATTGCCACTCAATGCCTCTTTTGCAAACCACAGCACCCAAAAGGAGAGAGAGAACAAAAGGGAATGTCCTGCCACAGAGGGAGGGTAGGATGGGGGCAGGGATGGAGGGTGGGAGGGATACTGGGATCAGTGGTGGTGGAGAATAGGCACTGGTGGAGGGATGGGTACTCGATCATTGTATAACTGAAACGCACGCACAAAAATTTGTAAGTCTACAACTGTACCTCATGGTGTTTCACTAATAAAAATTAAAAAAAAAACAATTTAGGATTTGGCCTAGGGGGATTACTAAGGGTTCAGAGGGCAAGACTTCCATGTCTGGGGCTCCAGGTTTCATCTCTAGCACTGCATGGTCCCCTGTGAACTTTTGGGTATGGCCCTGGTCACCCCTGCACTGCTGTACCCAAGCATTGACTTATGTAGCTTGTTGACCATGTGTCACTGGGAATGGCCTTTGGGCCCCCTGACTCTGCCTGGAAGCTCCCACCCAAGAAAATTAAAGAGAAAAAAAAAGAAAAGAAAATTACTTAGACTGCCGTGGAAACTCATATTCTCTTCCATCTCTCTTCCCTCACTCACCTCTTTATCTGTATCTGTACTATGCAAAAGGAAGTATAATTTTAAATAATTTAGTGATGGAAGGATATACTAAGGAGCACAGAAGAAAAGCTGAAAAAATCATTCTCTGCTACATCTCTGCTTCCAATGAACTCGACCAATTTCATCCATGTTTCTTAGAGGATATTTATGAAGAGCACGTGTTTCCATTTGGGATTTTGATAATGCAGAGAGAAAAAAACAATGAATACCTCCAGGTGTAAAATATTAAGGTGCTTTCGCTAAGAAGGGGTTTCATTTCAGGTGGGTTTTAGCTCTGGAGCACACTAGACATTTTAGTGTTGCTCTTGAAACTTTTCTTCCCCAATTGTTCAGTTATGTTTTGTCTTTTGGGAGGCTATGCTGTCATTTCTCTCACATTTTCCTTCAGAATTCAATCCAATAGTTCTACTAATTTTAAATTATAAATACTTTGAAAAAATATATATACATATATCATAAGTTTGGAATATAATACATATATAATACACCTGGAAAACCAGCAAGACTGTACTACTATACAAGAAAGGAGACATCCACGACATTGGCAACTATCGCCCAATCTGCCTATTGTCTGTCATCTACAAACTATTCACTCGAGTCATCCTGAATAGGATTAGCAGAACACTAGATGAAGGACAACCATGTGAACAAGCTGGATTCCGAAAAGGATTCAGTACCATCGACCATATCCACACAATAACCAAGCTCATTGAGGTATCTCGGGAGTTCAAGATGCCGCTCTGTCTAACGTTCATTGATTTAAAGAAGGTCTTTGATTCTGTTGAGACGGAAGCGGTCATGGAAGCCCTAGCCAATCAGGGCGTACAAACTCAATACATCAGGATCCTTCGTGAGCTCTATTGCGGATTCACTACCAAGATCTCACCATTCTACAAAGAAGTAATCATCCATATCAAGAGAGGGGTTCGGCAGGGTGATACCATTTCACCAAAACTCTTCAGTGCCACCCTCGAGAACATCATGCGACAACTAGAATGGGAAAACATGGGAGTGAAGATAGATGGTCGGCAACTACACCACCTCCGCTTTGCTGATGACATAGTTCTAATAACACCAAACATCAGCCAAGCAGCACAAATGCTTGCGGACTTTGACCGTGAGTGTGGAAAGGTTGGACTACAGCTGAATCTTACGAAGACAATGTTTATGAGAAACAGCCTTGTTCCTGACGCTCCATTCGCTCTCAACGGAACCACCATCTCCGAATGCAACAGTTATATATACTTAGGTCGAGAAATCAACATGATGAATGACCTGGCACCTGAGTTACGCAGGAGGAAGAGAGCGGCTTGGAATGCCTTCAAGAGCATTGAAGAAATAACTAAAAGGACAAAGAACCTCCAACTACGAGCACATCTCTTTGATTCCACTATTCTTCCTGCATTAACATATGCCTCAGAGACCTGGACCCTACGAAAACAGGATGAGAACACTA